CGGGTGGGGGAGCGGGAGGCGATGCCGAGCGTGGGCATAACCCGCCCGCTAGTCTGCGCGTGAGCTTCGCGGGCAGCCCCGGAGCTGGTTCCTGTCCCTGTAAAAGTGGTCTCTTCGGTGGAAAGTTGCAGAATTCGCTGGCTTTTTCTGCCACGTGCCCAGCGTCGCGTTCTCCGTCTCTTTGTGGGAGCCCCCGTTCCTGCAGCCTTAGTGGGTCAGGGGTTATGCTTTGGTTTTTGTCAGGGTTTTGCCCAAATACGTAGTAAAGGTGAAACATGAAATCCGTTTACTTTGCAGTGTTGGAAGCTCTCAGAAGTGAGGAGTTCTTCGAGGGGAAACCTTGCTTGGGGAGTACCCTCTTCATTCCTGTACAAATTTTACCCCAAAGTAAATTTCCTCATTTAACTGAAGTAGGAAGACAATAGGATAGCGATCGGGCAAGAAACATTATTGTAGTGGTGTTCAGTTATTTTTTGGGCAATGTGTGAAGTTCAGAACAGGGGTAGGACCAGCATAGATGCTGCTGTGCCTAGTGAGGAGACTTCAGCTTATAGCTAGAAATTCTCCCCTGAAGCTGTCAAAACATTTTTGTGCACTTGACTTAACATTTACTGTGACCCAAAGTATTTATTATTACCATGGGATGTTTGATGGTGAACTTTGAGGGGTTTGCCATGTTTTTGAAGGGGTGTTTGAATTTCCTTTTTCAAGTATGAGTTAAAATGTAACTTGCAACTGTAACAGAAAAACAGAAACAACAAGCCCTGATCTGTGTTGATGATTCAACATGCAATTCTGGCTGCTTTTCATGACTGTGACATTTGCAATGAAAACTCTTCTACAGGCTACAGGTTTGTTCTCCAAGAAGGAAATGCGTATTTAGAAGGATGCACTCTTGCACTGGAAGGGGTCCCACTGCTGTCATATAAACTTTCACCATAACAGAGAGCAGAACTAGCATTGTGCAGCTGGGGCATCAACCATATCATGCAAATATTAACAACCTGTAATTTCTGCAGGTAGCTCTTTGGTTTAAATTTTTATTGCATCCTAGAAGCTTACATAGAAGGAAAAATCTGATTACTGTTTAAGAAGTAACACAAGGTTATTGCTAAGGAAGTTCTGCAACCTACCAATTGTTATGCAGGTGCTGTTGGTCCTTAAAACTACCTGTGTTTGGAACTCTGCATATGTTCACATGTTTTCCTTGCTAGTGAGTCTGTACCAGCTTGGGATGCCTAAATAGTAGAACATTAGCATATTCCTTTTTTTTTTTTGTGTGTGTGTGTTATTAAATGTTTGTCTTTTCCCGTGTCTCTGAGCCAGAATCCATGCAAGGAATTAGTTGCACATGAACTGCTATAGTGTACACAGTAAGCAAGAAAGTAGGCAATGGGGAGACTCGTGTTTCTCTGGCCTTTATTATGTCAATGACTGTTTTGGAAATGGAAAATTTTAAAGTCTGCAGGTAGCTAATTGTTTGTGAAACAGCTGTGCAGCAGCAGCACTTCACATCTGAATGTCCCCTTCTTTTAAACTAAGATTTTACAGAGAATAATGGGAAGCTATTATTAGTTTGTTGTGCTTAAATACACAGGGTCCCATTTGCTAGGATTTGTATGTTTTGCTTCGTACTGAGAAAAGTGTAAATTGTCAAAGCTTTTATTTTGGGCTTGAAGGATCTCTCTGGCCAGTGTGATCAGAAGTGTCAACTTGTATCACTTGTTGCGTGCCCCACGGGGAGAGGAGCGTGGCTAGTGTGATGGTCAGATCTGTGGGCATCTCAATTGATCTGAGAAGCCTGTAAGCATGGAGGCTCAAATTAACATCTCTGTTTTTAGAGTGAATTGTGTTTTTTCATGTGGTAGAATTGTACCACAAGAAGTTGAAGAGTGAAGGTAGCCTTACCGTCGTGAAAGGAAGGAGAGGGAAAATGTACAAGCATGGTGTCAAAGTTTCTTTTTTTTTTTTTTCCCCTCAGGGATAGATTTAAGCAACGTTAAAATTCTGTCTTTGTTCTACTCCTTAGATTTTGAAGCAAGTTTTATTCGCCTGATTGACAAAGTGACCAATGGCTCTCGGATTGAGATAAACCAAACAGGTGAGATTGGTTTTCTCTTCTTCCTCTGTTCTGGTCTTCTGGGGTCTATCAGTTGCTGCAGTGAAATTAAAGTTTTGGCTTGACAGAGGTAGTTGTTCAGATATCATTGACTGACAAGATCAGAAACAACCAAGCTGAGAAGTTTTGTAGTAATTGGTCGCATGCAAGAAGATTAGTGCTCCACCATAATGCAGAGAGTTAAGGAAACTGTATTGCTCAAGAATTAAAATTTTAGTCATGCCTAGGCTGAGCCTGTTTGTGCTCAGAAAAGGGGTTGGTTTCAGCAAGAAGCATCCCACATAAAAAATTAATCTGGTTCTTGTCCTCTTTTTTTTTTTTTTTTTTTGTTAAAAAAAAAGGATTTTAAGAAATAGGTTTGGTCAGTAAAGCAGATAAACTACCACCAGATATGCCAAGACAGTGATGACCAGATGGTTTGGTGAACATGTAGCTGCTGTGGAGGATAATAATTGCTTGTATCAGCATTTTGGGGATTGCTAAGAGATCCTTGATTTTTGGGCAGGAGGGGAAAGGAGGAGAAATGATACGCAAGACAGACAGACACTCATATGTGCTGGCCCATTTATTAGCTGCAGGCATAGAAATAGCATACTCAAAATAGCATACTCATCTTTCATAAATTCTTCTGTCTCCAATTTGCCTGTATACATCATTGCAAAGTGTCTTTATGCTGCAGTAATGGTCAGTGTGCTGACAGCACTCTCCTTTGTTTTGCTCCCCTGGCACCTTCCCCAGGTACTACCTTGTATTATCAGCCTGGTCTTCTGTACGGAGGCTCGTTGGAACATGACTGCAGCCCCAGTCGTAGTATTGGCTACTATTTGGAAAGTCTGCTCTGCTTGGCACCTTTCATGAAACATCCATTGAAGATTGTCCTGAGGGGAGTAACAAATGATCAAGTAGATCCTTCAGTAAGTAATAAAATCTAAGTATCAGAGGAGGATTTTTTTCTTTTCCTAAAAAAAGATTAGGAAGAAGCGTCTAAAACATGTTGCGTTTTTTTATCATCCCTCACATCCAGAAGTATCCAGTGTTACTGCATCTGCCAGCAAACTCTCTGAATCAAACAAGCATTTGCTAAACTGTTCCCTTTCTGCATCATACTCCAAACTGCAGTTTGTAATCCACCTTTTGGCTTTCAGTTCTATACTGCTTCTCGCCTGGAAACTCCCTTTAAATGTGATGTGAGGCCCTGCTACTGGTTTGCTTCTCCTGTTGTCTTAGAAGTTAGATAGATTGTTTCACCCACTCCACACATATGTTTACTGTAAAAAAAGGAAATTGTCTTTAAAATTTGAATATGACAAGGAAGGAATCTTTCCCTTCTATTGAATACTGGACACAGTTACACCAATGCTGCTGTGAAGCCTTCTTTCTGTTAGAAACAGAAGTCACATGAAAATTATGAAATTACGGTAGCAAAAATATGTGATAAGTCTGTGATTCTTCAGAGATATGCTAGAAGGTATGGTAGTTCAAAGGACTATGAAATGCTTGCCTTGATTTCTATTACTGCCGATTCTGGAAATTATGCCTTTTTAGGCATTGGCCACATGAGCCAATAGAGGTTAAGCAATTTTAGTTGAAATAGCTGTGAGAATTTGAGCCAGTTAGTTTGTGCTTGAAGGGGGCTTGCACAGGCGGACAGGTGTTGGCATACATCAGCTGAATCACAGTACCTGACATTAAGTGTAAATAAAATGCAGATAGGAATGCTAAGGAGTTACATCTTAAGTTCATTGTGCTGTAGAAGCACAACTGTAGTTACTGTGACTTAGCTCATGTGAAGTAACTTTTTAAGTGACAGTAACTGAATACCAATTCCTAAAGCTCTTTTAAACCTGGTTTTTGTCTGTTTAACGTGGCTGACTAAACATTAAACCTGGTGCACACCAATAAACTACTTTAAGGAGTTTTACAAGATGTTGTGTATAGCATACGGCTCTGCAGGTTACTGAGACTAAAAGCGTGAGCTTAAGTGCTACCCTAAGAGATTTATGTGCTTAAGTAAATGGAAACTTGGTTTTAAATTGAATTTGGCTTTTATTTTTCAGTGGGCAGGAGGTGTTTAGAAACTGGGTGAACATTTATTACCTATGCTTGACCAAAAAGGGATGCTTAAATTTGTCTATCCATCTGTACACTTTGTGGCTTTCCAAGGAGAAGCGAGAAGGGGAAACCAATGTAAATATATTGTGAGTAGTTTAAAATGCACAAAGAGTTTCCCCTGCTGCTCTTCGTGTAAGAACCTCTCCAGTCTCAACTTAGTACGTACAATAGTGTCATGGTTTAACCCGTCCGGCAGCTGAAACAACCACACAGCTCACTCCTCTCCCCCTGCCCCAGTGGGATGGAGGAGAGAACTGAAAATAAAAAAAAAAAATATTAAAACTCATGGGTTGAGGTAGAGACAGTTTAATGAGACCGGAAAAGGAAGATAATGATATTAAACCAAGTGATGAACAGTACAATTTCTCACCACCCAAAGCTGGTGCTCCGCAAGACTCCAAGCTACCCTGCCTGCCAGCCCACTACCCTGTTACATGTGGAACATGGTGTTGTATAGTATGGAATATGCCTTTGGCCAATTTGGGTTAGCTGTGCTGGCCATGTTCCTTCCCAGCTTCTTCGGTGCCCCCCGCCGCCTTGTTGGCAGGTCAGTATGAGAAGCTGGGAAGTCCTTCACTGCTTGGCAACAACCAAAACATCAGTGTGTTATCAGCATTCTTATCATCCTAGATCCAAAACACAGCACTAACCAGCTGCTGGGGAGAAAACAAATTCTATGTCTGTCAAAACCAGGACAGATAGGCAAGGCACCCGCTTATCTGCTTTGGGAAATTTTTATTGTTTTGTAAAAGGGATATCATGTTTTGTAAACATGTGTCTTTATTTTGGAGCTAGATGAACTCCGTGGGATGTATCCTAGCGTGAGTGTATTCAGCATCTGTCATCTGCAGATAAATGTACAAATTCACATATGTGTGTGAGAAAACATATATCTACATACACATATACACACATATGATCCTATAGCACCCCCTTTCTGCTTGAAAGGAGAAGGTAGTCCTGTCCATCCTCCCTGCTTTCAGCCACACAGTCCTGTGTACTCCAGTACCCCAGACACTTTCCAGAGCTTTCCCTCAGCCAGTTCAACTAACTGGCAAAATGGCAGAGAGCTGTATCCATGCATTTTCTCATGGAAGCATCCACGAGGTAAATAGCAGCAATGTGTCTGCAGCCAAAGAAGTGGGACCTTTCCCTCATGGTAGCAGGGAGCAGGTAGGCTGACCCACTTTCTGAAATCCGCTCTCAGCGCTGAGCTCTCAGCTTTTACACAGCCTGAAAAATACCTGTTGGGTGTGCTTGCTGTGTTGTGGGTTTGAGGTTGCTCTTTGCCAGAGACCACCTTGCCAGGAGGACAAAAGGACATGGCAGATCTCCTGCTATGGGGAGAGTGGAAGTGGTCAAGGCAGGAGGAAGGGCATTTCTAAAGGATGGCTTGTGGAAGGAAAGGCTTCAGCTGAGTTCAGTGAGGCACAGGTCAGGCTGAGTTCCTGCAGTATAAATTGAGTGCATGTTTATGTTAGTGTTTGTTTATATACATTAATAGCCCTCCAGTGGGGTGCAGTGAAAAACTCTTTGACAGCTGGTGAGCACTGTGGCCACTGAAATAGTGGGTAATGTGCACTTGCTCCAAGTTGGATTGGGGTGGTAATAGTGTGTGAGTTATACATCCTAAATGAGTGAGAAGGATACTGGTTTGCTCGCACGTGTCGGGAAGAGACATGGCTTTGGAATATCAGCCTGAACTGTTCACTGGCAGCCTACATTTGCATTATGTTTTTCTGCCTGACCATTGGCAAGACCAGACCATGAATAGCTGTGTGGCCCCAGCCATATGGAACTGGTGTGTAGAGTTGAGGTAGTTTAAAGTTACCCTGTGTAGAGAGTATGTATGTGGGGGGTGTCTTTGTAAAGTGCCTTTTTTGAAGGGCATGAAGGTGGCATACAAATGATAGCTCTTATTTTCCTTTCCCTCTCTACATGTTGCTTTTCTGACAGATATGTAGTACTGCAGTAACCTGGTTTTACAATAATCGTTCCTAATGTTTGGTGGTGTTGTGTCCCCGTCCTCCCCGCCCCAAATCTAGGTCCTTGTCCCCAAAACATAACACTATGTATGGCAGGGATAAATGCTCTTCTGTGCAGTGCTAATGGCTACGCAGGCCAGCTAATGCTTGCAAACCACTAGAAGTTACTTTTCTTTTTCTTTTTTTTTTTTTTAAAATTATTTCAGATTTCTTTAAAAGAAAAAGGTTTTTATTTATACTAGTTTGTGAACAAGCAATGTCTCTGGGACTTAACAAGTTGTGTGCGTTTGTGGTGAGACATGCCCTCGGTTGTATGACACACTTGCTTTGGTGCACCTTGGTGTTGTGTTGTCTGCTCTGGAGATGGAATATCTGCCCTTCAAGGGCATCTGAAAGGTGATTTTATGGCTGAGTGCAGGCAAGAGACTAGAAAATATGGTTTTGAGTCTCAGTTCTGCTAATGTCTTGTGATTTCAGTGAAGTACTTAACCTGTCCTGCCTGAACTCATCGGCTAAGCAGAACAGCCTTTTTCACTCCTTCAAGTACTGCCATTACCTTCTCTATTTAGGCCACAAATTTTGAACAGAGACGGTCTCTTATTATGTGTCTGTCTGATACCTGGTAAGTATCATGCCTGGAATTTGTCTGAGGACTAAAAACTATGAAAAGTCTTGAAATTTTTGGAAACAGACAAACCAGACTCGAAATTGAGCCAGCTTCCTAATGCTGGTATAACATGCTTTCTTCAGAGATACAGACTTCATGCCAAACAATTGCAAAAGTGGAAATGGAGGAGGGAAAGGGAGTTCCTAACCTACACAGTGAAGCTTTTCTTTTTTACTGATATGTTTTATTTCACAAGAAAGAGGGAGAAATATTGCGTAACTTTAACTTGAACCAGATCAGTTTGTTGCCAGTGGTAGTCACATGTGTGTACATGTGTGCACATGCATGTTAGTAAAGGTTTTTGCTCTAAAAGTGAAATTTGCGTGATTAATGAATACTATTGAGCAGTTAAATTAAGGTAGCCTGGCTGTAGAAAATATAAAATATATAAATATAAAAAATAATCATTGACTTAGTTGTTGGTTTTTTTTCAAATGAAGACATTCAAATATTGATACTGCCATTAAAAACAACACCAAATGCCTCTCTGTAAGAAAGGAAGTATGTTGGCCAGTAGGATTTGAAAAATGAGCGCTGCAGCATACGCTTGTAGCAGCTACTTGGGCAGCTCTAACAGGTTATTCACAGCTTTGTAGGTGAGGCATGTGCTACTACTTTGTCAGTGACTTGCACTCTGCAAAGCTGAGAGAATGAAAGGCAAGAATTGTGGATTCTGGCTGAAGGCATGGGAGGAGGGTGCTTTTTTTTCTGCCTCCTCAACTGCTGTCTACTGCATGCCTGTTTCCTTCACCTGAATTTAGTTCCTCTTTGGTCATGCTGTCCTGGTCCTGTCTCTCCCAAGCTGCTTGTCTTGGGTGACTCTGTGCTGTTGCACTGCTAAATAATTTTTATCACCTTCAGTAATGCTACTGAAGCTGTAGCAGACGGAAGAAGACAACAGTTACTGTTGTCTTAGGTCAGCAATTAGGAGGAGCAGTGGCAAGGAAAATCCTGCTCAGACCTGGATCTGGTGAGCATCTGTCTGAAAGGATGTACATGGATGATATGTCACCCACTTCAGATTCTTTCCAAGTATTTCAACAGAAGTTACTAGAAGCTTCTGTTTCTCAGATGAGAAGGATGAAGTTCTTCCTGCAAAATCAAGGGCCTGCTCCAAAGGCAAAGGTTCTTGCAATCATCATTTATTTACCTGTAGGAATTTTTTAGCAATGACATAAGAATATGATTTTTTTAATAACTGTGTTCAGAGAAACAAATGAGCTGTTTTAGTTGAACCAAAATAGAAGTAAAAAGAAGGCTGAGGAAGAAATCCAGAATAGGAAATTCCATCTCCCAATAACTTGTTCTAGCAAATGTTTTGAGTAAAGAGGTACTGTGGTAGTCTAAGAGTAGTCAAAGCTGTCTGTGCTGCATTCCCCTGTCTATCCATAGAATACCTAGTATGGAGAAGCCTCGTCTTTGTTAGGCACCTCACAACACAATGATTTTTAAATTACTGACTTACGTAACTTCCAATGAAGAGTCTGCTTTTTAAATTCTGTGTTCTATAGGTTGATATCCTTAAGGCAACAGCTCTACCCCTACTGAAGAAGTTTGGAATTGATGGTGAAAGTCTGGAAATCAAGGTAAGAGAATTTGTTCCTTTCTTTTCTACTACACGTGAAATGAGACTTTTGCAGTGCTTCACAGGGCCATATGCTTGCTGCTGGTATCTGTCTCTAGCAGATATCTAGTTGTAGCTACACTAATTTCTAATTTGTCTCTTGTTCTTGGCATGTTTTAAATGGCATACCAGCAACATAGTGATTGAAGATGTGGTAGGACAGAGATGCAAAGGTTATGGGTGGAGAGGGTAAGGAGAAAGTAGTGACTTTTCTTAGCCTCCTAGATCTTTGCAGGCTAAGAAACCTTTTTGCTTTCTTGTTCCTCTTCAGTTCATTTAATTGTTTTTTCCTTCCTCGTGCTTACAGCTAGGGAGTAATAGTAGAATCTTTTGTGTCCTTTCTAAGTAGAGAAGTTGGATCTGTGTTTGGGTGATTGAGATTTGCTTCCAGCTTAAAAAATAGAGGAAAGAAACTTTAAAGACTATACTTTTCGCAGGCCCAATAAATCTGGATGTGGAATAGATTTTTTTTTTCTTTTTAGGTTAGAGAAAGAAACTATAGCCTTTCAAAGTTAAGAACGCTCATGTAAAATGTGTGAAGGCCCTAGCCGCACTATTAGTCTTTGCTTGCTCTGCCAAGCCCTCACCGGGTGCCTGCCTCAACCCTGCCCAGGTCCCAGGACCCCAAGTCATCGTCCCGGACTGTCAGCCCCTGCTCCAGCGACCCCGCACAGGGCCGGTCTCCAGCTGCCCACAGCCCTGCCCTGCCCAGCCCAGCCATGGGCCCCCTGAGCCAGACCCACCTGCCGGCCACGTGCCATCCCCATCCTTGTAGACGTTGGCTGGGGCAACGGGACAGGGTCGGTCTGGCCAGGCCTGTTTGTGGGAGTGAGTTCATTCTGGTCTCCCATATGCATACTAAGCATCAAACACTTCTAGATTTTCTTCAGCAGCGAGGTACAGATTTGCTATTAGAGACCAGTCTTAAGCCAAGGTTGCCTTCCTGGTAAAGATGTTGGGGTTTTGTTTGTTTGATTTTGTTTTGTTTTCCATTGAGACACAATGCCCTGCTGTACTTGAGAGAGGAGGAGAAAAAAAAAATCAATTTTTGCTTGTAGTTTTGGTGCAAAATCCATTTCTGCCTTTGAGATGTGTTTTTCTCGCCTTAAGTTCACATAATACTGGTACTGATAACATTTTATTATATGTGAAATAAAAGCTGTCCTTTTTGAGTGTATAAGTACATTTTTATGCTCTTTACTAACCAGCCTTTTTTTATCTGTTATTGTTTCTAGATCAACCGGAGAGGAATGCCTCCCAAAGCAGGTGGAGAGATAGTGTTTTCTTGCCCAGTGAGAAAGGTCTTGCAGCCTATTCAGTTCACCGACCCTGGCAAAATCAAGCGCATCAGAGGAACTGCGTATCCTTTTGTTGTTTCTTTGTTTTTCTTCTTTTAAACAAGTTTGCCTTAAAAGAAAATAAGTCTCCCAACCTGAAGTCCCAGAGGTGCACCCAAGTTGCTGATCGTGTATCCAGATAGCACAGGGTGACATTACACACAACTAGATTTCAGGACTGTGTCTCAAAACTGCTGTGTTCAGAACATTGTCTACTGATGTTTTCTGAACAGCAAGCAAATAAAGTTAAATCTGAACAGCACTATTTAAAATCTTTCCAATAGCAAGAAAAGATTAAATACCTTCTATGACATAATGTAGCAGCGCTGAAAGGAATCCTACCTTGTATGTAATTCTAGTAGTAACAAATCTAGTTTTGTTATGCACTAAATAAGTAGCATCTTGGCTTTTAGTGAGACTAGCACACTGTTACACGGGAGCTTAAATCTTAGTTCAGTTATACCTCACTGCACACGCGTAAACTGAGCTTTTTGTTGTGTTATGCAAAGTAGTTTGTTACTTCTTCAGTAATACCATTTGAGATGGAAGTGGAGGAGGCTTTACTTCTGAACAAAGATAAGAGCACAAAATATTGTTGTGGAGTACTCTTTTTGCAAACAGAACTGCACATCTAGTTAATATTTTGGGTTTTTTTTCTTTATTTTTCTCTTGCGGTTTTTATATGGTATCTGTCAAGAATCTGCTGTCACCATAGGAAGAAGGCAGAAATCCCTTACAGACAAGGTATATTAAAGGTTGTATTTCATGGGCTCCTGCTCTCTCTTGAGCATTGGCCAACTTGTAGTTTAATTTGTGATTATGAGAGTCCCAAAGATGATCTGGCTTTGATTACTCAAAAGGCAAGCAGGAACAGGGGCAAGTTTCCTGCCAGAGGTGCAGACTTGCAGCTGTTCCTCCTTTTACTTTATGTCATACCATCATACTTCTGCGTGAGAACAGGACGCTTTGACCTCTGTTTCCAGCTGCAGCATTTGGATGAGTGCAGCATTGCCAAGTGAGAGCAATTTTTCTGGGTGCATGTGCTGTAGAATAAAAAGGAGGCAGCTCATTGTGCTTTTCATAGAATCATCGAATGGTTTGGATTGGAAGTGACCTCAAAGGTCATCTAGTTCCAACCTCCCTGCCATAGGCCAGGACACCCTCCACTAGACCAGGTTCCCTAAAGCCCCATCCAACCTGGCCTTGAACACTTCCAGGGATGGGGCATCCACAACCTCTCTGGGCAACCTGTTCCAGTGCCTCACCTCCCTCACAGTAAAAAATTTCTTCCTAACATCTAGTCTAAATCTGTCCTCTTTTAGTTTAAACCCATTACTCCTTGTCCTATCACTACACTCCCTGACAAACAGTCCCTCTCCAGCTTTCCTTTAGGTCCCCATCAGATACTGGAAGGCTGCTATAAGGTCTCCCCAGAGCCTTCTCTTCTCCAGGCTGAGCAATCCCAACTTTCTCAGCCTGTCTTCATAGGAGAGGTGCTCCAGCCCTCTGATCATCTTCATGGCCCTCCTCTGGACTCTCCCACAGCTTGATGTCTGTCTTGTACTGGGGACCCCAGAGCTGAATGCAGTGCTCCAGGTGGGGTCTCAGGAGAGCAGAACAGAGGGGGAGAATCACCTCCCTCGACCTGCTGGTCACGCTTCTTTTGATGCAGCCTAGTTAGCTTGCAGCACAGTTGGCTTTCTGGGCTGCAGGCATGCATTGCCGGCTCATCTTGAGCTTCTCATCCACCAACACACCCAAGTCCTTCTCCTCAGGGCTGCTTTCAATACCTTCATCCCCCATTCTCTGCTGATACTGGGGATTGTGCTGGACCTTGCACTAGGCCTTGTCGAACTTCATGTAGTTCACATGGGCCCATCTCTCCAGCCTGTCAATGTCCCTCTGGATGGCATCCCTTCCATCCAGCGTGTTGAATGCCCACACAGCTTGGTCTTGTCAGCAGACTTGCTGATGGTGCATTCATTCCCACTGTCCATGATGCCAACAAAGATGTTAAGCAGTGCCGGTCCCAGCACCAACCCCTGAGGAATGACACTTGTCACTGATCTCCACTTGGACATTGAGCCATTGAGCATAACTCTTTGAGTGCGTCCATCCAGCCAATTCCTTATCCACTGAGTGGTCCATCCATCAAATCCATGTCTCTCCAATTTAGAGACAAGAATGTTGTGTGGGATGATGTCAAATGTTTTACACAGGTCCAGCTAGATGGCATCAGTTGCTCTTCCCTCATTCACCAATGCTGTAAGCCCATCGTAGAAGGCCACCAGCTTTGTCAGGGATGATTTGCCCTTAGTGAAGCCATGTTGGCTGTCACCAATCACTTCCTTATTTTCCGTGTGCCTGAGCATAGTTTCCAGGAGGATCTGCTCCATGATCTTGCAGGGCACAGAGGTGAGACTGACTGGCCTGTACTTCCCCAGGTCGTCCTTTTTATGCTTTTTAAAAATGGAAATTATGTTTCCCGTTTCCAGTCAGTGGGAACTTCACCAGACTGCCAGTACTTCTCAAATACGATGGAGAGTGGCCTGGCCACTTCATCCGCCAATTCCCTCAGGACCGGTGGATGCATCTCATCAGGTCCCATGGACTTGTGCACGTTCAGTTTTCTTAAATATTCTCAAACCTGATCTTCTCCTACAGTGGGCAGTTCTTCACTCTCCCAGTCCCTGCCTTTGCCTTCTGTGACCTGGGCAATGTGGCTAGAGCACTTGCTGGTGAAGACTGAGGCAAAAAATTCATTGAGTACCTCAGTCTTCTCCATACCGTGGGTAACCAGGTCTCCCATTAATTACATTTTGGTGGTGTTTGTCATGGTCTTTCCATGAAGGAAGTAATTTCCTTATGCCCCTGTCTGCCCCTGTAGTAACTAATTCTATCCTCTGTTTCTGTGTGAAAGAGGAAGCGATGACCATGGCTTTAGTGCCATCTTTCTAAATTGATGTTAACACACAGTGCTATTCTGGGCTACTTTGAATGGATTCAATTGATGTATGTGAACTACAGTTTTTTAAACTTCCACTTTAGTTTTTCCTGGGCTTTTTCTCAGGGATAAAGGTTTGCCTTTAGTAAGCCTGATGAAAGGTAGTCTCATTTTAGTTTAGCCATTAAGTGGTCCTTCAAGCCAGTAGAAAACAAAACATCTGGAAGGATAATTGCTTAGGTCTTCTATGTATGCATTTTTGTCGTTTCCACTGAGCAAATCTGCTTCCTTACAGCTGGGGAGCTTGTGTTGCAGCAACCTTTTATAGTCATCCAAAGTACTGACTGCACCAACTGTGCAGAACACTCTGTTTTTTTCATTATTATTTACTGGTTTTGCCCTTAACATGTTAAAGCTTTTGGTTTACGTACTCCACAAGAGAATGCAATAGAAATTTGTAGAACATGGAAATTCTCTTTTGACAGCTGGGAGATTTGTGAGTGTGTTTCTTTGCATTGCTATGTGCGTCTAGGGGCAGATGGGTTGTTAAATGAGCATGAGTCTGCATCACAGTTGGGATGGAATTTGGAGCACAGTGTCCTTCGTACATTTGAAGATATGTTGGAAATATCACTGAAGCAGCACCTGAGTAACAGGGCACAAAGGCAGTTCATCTCTTGTGTACTGTGAGGAGGTGGGTTGGGGTGAGCAGGAAGGCGGTAATTTCTTCACTGGAACTACTTTCGGATGCTGAGTGACTGGAGAACCAGTGAACTGCAAAACAGTTGGAGAGAGCAAAAGTATTGGCTTTTAGCCTTTTAAAATTATTTTTTTCTTTTGTTAAAATATTTGTCTTTAATTTCATATACCAAATTTCTCCCTAATAGATAGGATTTCTTGCTAATTCAGTGAAACTTCACCCATCACCATCTTTTAATAGTATATGAAGAGCAGAACATGCAGGAGTTCCTCCATCATAAGAAAGCACAGGATGACACAACAGCAAATTAATATTACTGAAGGGCATTTTCATGATCTGCGTTTACCTAGCTGTTCTTCTGCACGTGTTCTGTGTACCTCACTTCAAGGTGTATCAGTGAAAAGACTGTAGAAAGCACTTATGAACATGTGCTTCTCTAAGTCAAGGAAAATGGACCAGTGCTCACAAATGGATGTATAGGACAAAACCACATTTTCTGAAATAACGCATTGGGACCTCTTGGCCACTTTTGCCAGTCTGGTTTAAATTTGTGACCACAATGAATTCCTTAGCTCAGAAATGTAGGTATTCTGTCAGAGTCTCACCACAGATGGCAAACAGAATGGTGGAATCTGCAAGGAGCATACTGAATAAATTCCTCCCAGACATTTATATCTACACAGATCATATGAAGGGGGTCAGCTCTGGAAAGTGAGTATCCAGTATTAACAGAGAACAGAAATGTAATTCTACATTTGTTCATCTGCTAGGGTATTCTGATCTTTAATTTTATTGATTTTAGACCATGATCATGTATTTTGCTGACTTGTAATAAATGTTCCTCACAGGAAAAAAATTGAATTATTCATTAGATAAGTTTGTTTTACTCGTGGTACAGGGATAGAAGTTGTGTGTTTTATTAAACAAGGAATGTAATGTATCATTACTGCCACTAAAGGCAATTTGAACTCTCTGCAGTTTTAAACCTGTTGCTTTTAAGTGAGATTAAAATCCGAGGTGCCATGGTATGTTGTGAAAACCAACCTTCAAACTTGGCTGTACACCTTCTGATGGAAATGGTAGTATTAAGGATGGGACAAAACTGGTTTAGAAAGTGTTCGAGCTGTATGGATTGTCTCCAGCTTTATCATTACATAAATAGCTGAAGGAGTGTCCTTTCAGCTGCAATAACTGGAAAATTGAGACATTAATTTACTGTACTTTGACAGATTTTGTTTGCCAGTAGAACACAGAAGTGATGGGTGTGATTCAGAGTGTTTTACTGGTATCTGTCAGCTTTGTTGATCCTCTTGTCACCTTTTCTTTGAGGTTGAAGGAGTTCTGGGTAACTAATTTGTTTGTCTTCTGCCTGTATGCTCAAATCCAAGCATGCACATTTTCTTTCACTCTTTCTCTTTTTGAAATATTACCTTAAAGAAAACTTGTTAAGTTTGCAAGTTTACAAATTTAAAAGTTGTTGACTGACTAAGTATTTTTTCTTCTTTTCCAATCCTTCATAAGGATAGCGTAGTGATAGGACAAGGGGTAATGAGTTTAAACTAAAAGATTTAGACTAGAAGTTAGGAAGAAATTCTTTCCTGTGAGGATGGTGAGGCACTGGAACGGGTTGCCCAGAGAGGTTGTGGATGCCCCCTCCCTGCAAGTGTTCAAGGCCAGGTTGGATGGGGCTTTGGGCAACCTGGTGTAGTTGAGGGTGTCCCTGCCTGTAGCAGGGGGGTAGGAACTAGATGATCTTTGAGGTCACTTCCAACCCAAACCATACTATGATTCTGTCATATTTAATAGCCCAGGTTAGTAAGTCTTGTGGCTCCTGACTGTTAACAGCGATCAGAATTGCAAAAACTTTTCTGGGAGTTGTGTGGTTTTGGGGCCCTATTTTGGCTTTTATCTGTCTATAAAGTGAAAAATTCAAAAGAATTGGAGGAGCAGCGTTACATTTACTACTTGTATGGGTAGCCCACACAGAGGCATAAATAATAGTATGGGAAGAGGAAACAGAATCCCTCTCCACCTTGTTGGTGCATGTCGCTTTCTGATGCTGCTGTGCTGTCACATTCAACCTAAGTATGCTGCCAGTATGATTGTAGTATACCTGATACTAACATTGTACCACTTTGGCAAAGCTTTTTTTATTGCCTGGTTCCCAGACCTTGTGTGTATGTGTCTTAGCAGGACAAGGAAGGAAAGCAATATGCCTCGTTGTTTCCAGTGCTGCCTCTGGTGATGAATTAGACTAGCAAGGGCTAGTTCAGCCCATCTATGCACAGCCCAAACCAAGCCCTGATTTCAGAATACAAAGTGTTGAACTATATCCCTTCCACAGTACCAAAAGCTTCAGGAAATGCATTATTTGGGCATCTTCTGCCACCTATAATGTAAACAAAAAATTCACAGTTCGGTTTTGAGCATTTGCAGCAAAAGGTTTGTCTGTGCAGATACTTTCTAATACTGTCTGCACATACATGAGGCCCTGGATGATTTTAATCTTTATTTAGGCAGATACCACATGCTACTGAACACTAACAAAATCTGCCAGGTGGTATAGTTATTAAAGGATACTTGGCCAAAAAATAACATCTTTAACACTGTTCTTGTCTTGCTGTCTAGATCTGTCTCTTTCAGAGGAAGGAAAGGAGAAGAGAAACATCTTTAACATACCTTCTGTGTTGCTCAGCAAGTGCAGGCAGTTAAATATGGGTGGGAACCACTGATATCTTTCTGAAATGCCTCTGGAGAAACTCTTGTTTTTCTGGCACTAGGAGAGTTTCTGTCTTTTGGGGTTTGTTTTTTGTGATGTACTGATGTTGGTGACATTGCTTACAGTTTTGGGTCAGTGTGACTATTTTCCTTAAAAACTTTGGGTGGTAGGGGCAGCAGGGCTCCAGTAAATCCTGTACATGAAGTAAAGTTAAGTTAACCTTATTTTGAAGATACTGGTGCTCTTCCAGAGCCTATAAATAAGAGGATATTGTGACTTTGGGGATTTTATCTTGCTTAGAACTTTCTGATTTCTCAGCAAGCTGTACTCAGCCATCTGTGACTTTCTTGTAGCAAAAGTGTTTCTTAACTCTCACAAAAGCATTTTGTAGGATCCTAAGCTCTGAGGAAAACAGGGGGGTTTACTTCTTCAAATCATATGCTCAGAATTCTCATACGGTTGTAATGATATGGATGGTATTGTATTGAAAGTGAAAAGATGTGATTGGAAATACAAGTAATGTGGATGAAACTTTATTTTTTTTAATTATTCTGTTTGGTGCCATGGCTATGGTCTAATCTTGCTAAATATTGAAGCTTCCAGGGAAAGAGTTCGATCTCTAAAGAAGGTTAATCTTGGTTTTGAATGTCACAGAGACAAAATTCCAGATACCTTTGAAATGTTTATCAAACAAGGATTAAATAAATGTGAAAGATACTAATTTTTTAATAGAGGGGGTCATTTCTGAAGTTTGGATGTTTTAATTCTTTTTCTTTTTTCTTTCCTTTTTTTCTTTTAAAATAGTCTGTGCCAGGAATGGCCAGTATAGTGGGTTTGGGGCACGTTGTACTGGATTTAACTTTTAAATACTGTTATTAATACTTTTTCCAGCATGAATCAAATGTATAGAACAAGAATCTGGACTTGCTGACAAATTTCCAGGATTGTCCTATGAGAGGAGCTGTTTGTGACTTGGGGAGGAGATTGGCTGGGAGTGGTTCTTGGCTCATTACTTGATTTTTTTGTCCTTAAATAAAACGTGCTTTTGCTTTGTTTCAGATCACCAGGTTTTGGCATGTGCCTGACTGCAGAAACCATCAATGGCACTATCCTCAGTGCTGAGCTCGCCTCAAACCCTCAGGGCCAGGGAGCCACTGTGCTTCCCGAGGAACTTGGCCAGAATTGTGCTAAGCTGTTACTTGAGGAGGTCTACAGGGTAAGTGGCCAATATGTTTTGTGTGTATAGCTGTAGGGGAAGAAAGTAATGACATATTGGTAAAGAAAGAGGTGGTTTGCGGATCTGAGACAGGCTCAGATCCAACCAGAGAAATGATCTGATGCTGATGGTGTTGTCTTCATCCAGGTGAGGAATAGTTCTGAATGGTCGGTTAACTATGTAATAACTTACTGAGCTTTACATGTTATTTCCCATTTCCAAGAGGTGTTACTATGAATCAGAGTAGTGGCAAGTTTTCCTTCTGGTGCTTTCTGTCTGCAGCACAATTCAGCTGGCTTCACATGTGCTGTTACTTTTTTTAATAATAAGTTGGAGGGTAATAGAGTCAATGCTCTTAAACTAATGGTTGGAATAGGGCATGACTGGGAGAACACAGAAGGAAAGTAGGTGGGGGGAAAGCAGCTAGCCTCAATGCTGGCTGCTTTATGGTGATGATGACAGTCAAATGTACTGAGATCTTGTTGGTTGTATGAGAAGTTGTCTGAATGACTTGTTGGAAAGGAGGTAGGACGGTGTTTGCATAGGAATCTTAAGTGTGTCACAGTCTTCTGCTCCATAATTTGTTTTTCATCCACTGCTAGTGGATGAGCAGCTTTCAGCCTTACAAATGATTTGGCAATTAGCATCATAATGAGTTTCTGATTTATTAAGGAATTTACCTGCTTTTGTTGTGTATCTCCACAAACCTTAAAATGAGTAGCTGTTAGTATTGACAAAAGACATTTGGCCTTTAGGAGGCAGTCATCTACAAATCATACTCACTGTTTTAACAAAAGTAATTGCTCTGAACTGAAATAACCTGATAGGACTTTGCAAAGTATTAAAAATGCCATTAATGAGATTCTGAATTAGGTAATGTAGTCAACTATAAAAATATCCCTTAACCTCATAAATCGCGTCCATGCCTGTAGTATGTTGTTCATCTGTGCCCATGTTGTATTTTCCTTTCCCTGCTGCAAACCGTTCATCTGTCTGAATTACCAACTTGCCCACTTGTTCCAGTCTTCCATTAATATTTTGTCTTTGTTTATTCAATATATGCACCGTGTTGCTAGAGGACTTTCCCTTTCTAGCCCAGGGTTCTTGTATAAATGCCACAAACACTCTTCCTGGGTACAGTCCAGACCCCTTGCATTTGAAAGTCCAGCATGCATGGAGAATGCAGTCACAACTAGTGACTGAAACATCTGTCTGTTTTTACAGTTATGCAGTGACAGGTACCCTGCTATGGTACAGCTCATGCTCCTGGAGGGCTCTTTTATGTGCGAGCTGCTTCAGTCCTGGAGTGCTGAGCAGCGTACAGACTGCTTGTGATCTTCCACTGCAGCAGCTCACAGTACAAAAGTTTTTGTTTGTTAGCGTTTTTGGCTATTGTGCTGCTTATCCACTCTGGTGCTGTTTTGGGTTTGCACGGCAAGGTTTTGATAGTGGGAGGGCTACAGGGGTGGCTTCTGTGAGAAGCTGCTAGAAGCTTCCCCTGTGTCTGACAGAGCCAATGCCAGCCGGCTCCAAGACGGACCCGCCGCTGGCCAAGGCCAAGCCAGTCAGTGATGGTGGTAGTGCCTCTGTGGTAACAGAGTTAAGGGAAAATAAAAGGAGCGGCAGCTTTTGCAGTGAGAGAGAGGAGTGAAAAGATGTGAGAAAACTTTGCAAACACCAAGGTCAGCGAAGAAGGAGGGGGAGGAGGTGCTCCAGGTGCTGGAGCGGAGATTCCCCTGCAGCCCATGGAGAAGACCATGGTGAGGCAGGCTGTTCCCCTGCAGCCCATGGAGGTTGATGAGGAGCAGAGATTCCACCTGCAGCCCATGGAGGACCCCACACCAGAGCAGGTAGATGCCTGAAGGAGGCTGTGGCCCTGTGGGAAGCCCATGCTGGAGGAGGCTCCTGGCAGGACCTGTGTCACCATGGAGAGAGGAGCCCACGCTGGAGCAGGTTTGCTGGCAGGGCTTGTGACCCTGTGGGGGACCCACGCTGGAGCAGTCTGTTCCTGAAGGGCTGCACCCCATGGGAGAGACCCGCGCTGGAGCAGTTGGTGAAGAACAGCAAGGACTTACGTTGGAGAAGTTTGTGGAGGACTGTCTCCTGTGGGAGGGACCCCAGGCTGGAGCAGGGGAAGAGTGTGACGTGTCCTCCTTGGAGGAGGAAGGAGCAACAGACATAATGTGTGATGAACTGACTGCAACCCCCAGTCCCCATCCCCCTGTGCCGCTCAGGGGGAAGAGGGAGAGAAATTGGGAGTGAAGTTGAGCCCAGGAAGAAGGGAGGATTGGGGGTGAGATGCTTTAAGATTTGGTTTTGTCATTGCTCTACTCTGTTTTCTGGGTAATGGATTAATTTTTTCTAAGTTGAGTCTGTTTTGCCCGTGATGGTAATTAGTGAATGATCTCTCTCTGTCCTTGTCTTGATCCACGAGCCTTTTGTTATATTTGCTCTCCCCTGTTCAGCTGAGGAGGGCAGTGATAGAGCAGCTTTGGTGGGCAGCTGGCCTCCAGCCAGGGTCAACCCACCACAGGTGCTGAGTCCTTATTCGCTGTTCACAAATTCCCCACTCCCTCTGTCATGAGCAATATGGTAGGTTTCATTCTGTAGTTTTTAGGATGCACACTTTAATTTATGTATGACGTGCATGCTTATGCAGTGCTAACCAGGAATTTGGAAAGATGGGCTTTATCACTGATTTTTTGTTTTTAATTATTATTCCCTTTTGAGATTAGGTCAGTTTGATCTAGTGTTGACCCCAGAGAGGATATAAAAACACGTTACAAAGTGTGCAATGTTTGTTTAGTTTGAAGATACTTTTTTAAAAAAAGTTTCTTTGGCTAGATAAGATGTCTAGTGAAACAGTAAAAATTTGGGAAAGCTGCGCATGGAGCAAGAATAGGTTGCTCTAAACAGACGCTCTTTAAGTCCCACTCTCTTTAAAGCAGCTACTCACTGAATACAGTGCTCAAGGGAAAATTTCTCTTGCTGTGTTTAGATTCTGTCTTTATAAGATTGTTTCTTCGTCTGTGTCTTTGCCTGTAGGTCCTGTGCTGCCAGAGTCGGGGAGGGTTGACCAGAAAAGGGCATCCTGAGAGCATTGGAGATTGTTTTCTGTAGAAGGGTTTTAGCTGTTGGGGTCACCCACAAACCTGCTGGAGTTCGTTACTGTTTAAAGGGGCCCAGGGACATCTCTTAAAGTGCTTACTTAATGCTTGCTCTTATGTGAACTTCAACTAGGAAATCTAAGGATTTGAGTCTTGCTATGTTTAGTTCTAAAAAGTCCCTTTTACCAAGCCTTCTAAAAGAAACGAAGGATTATTGGAATCAGTGAAGCTTTTTTACGTACATTTGTTGATGGAAAGATGTCGGAGCTAATTGACTAATAATAAGTCGCACAGTGCTAATTACAGTGGTCCTTAAAGAGGGGGCATGTAGTGACTGACTAGCTTTGTATTTACAAATCCATATGCAGTTCTTACCTAAGCTTAATTGTAGAAGGCTAGTAAAGATTTTCCTCTTTGAAAGGTGTTGATTATGGGAGCTTTATATAGCAGCTGACTGGCAGAATGGAAAGGCCTGGAAGAACTGGAAAAGGATTGAATGTTTATATTCCTTGTGATCAGGAAAAATAGGGGCAGATGCAATATCTATTTAAGGCTTAGTTCTTTAATGAAGAAAGGTCGGGTTGTTAGGGGGGTTTGGAGGGGCAGGAGGGGTAAGGCTGTTTCATTTAACTTAGAGCTAAAATGAGTGAAGTATTTCATTGAAGGCCTAATTTTCAAGATGGCCTTACTTCAGTGTGACAGTGCTCTGCTCCATTCTTCTGGGGGGGGAAAAAAAAAAAGAAAAAAACCCCAACAACCAAAACCAAATCCTCTGCAGTTCACAGAGCAAGTTATCGAGGCATACAAGTATGTACCACACAGCTATGGGAGGAAATTGTGTGTATGCCAAAATATAACCAAGACTAAATCAAAGTTGGGGTCAAGCTCAGAAGGATAATCCTCTTTGAAACACTGTTGTCCAATACCCAGAGTTGTGATATTTGTATATGCATGTCAGCTGTGGTATTTGTATAGCAACATTTCAAAATGTATGGGATTTTAAGTGATCTGTGTCTCTGATTGTCACATCCAGATGGATCTGGCTCTATTGTCAATGGAAACAATAATGGAGAAACTGCCATAAACTGAATTAATGTGGACTAGAAGCTGCATCCTAGGTTGGTAACGAGTGCCAACTATTTTGGAACAAATGTCAATACTTTGACTGACTTTGCCCATCCCATTTCTCTTGGGAGGATTATTCTTGATTTTGGACTCTTGAGTAAAGGCAGGTGGATTGAGACAAAAAAGTTGGCCTTTTTGGGAGCGGCGTGTCCTTCATTTGGCACAAATTACTGTTCTGCCATCATTAGATTACAAGTAAATCTCTTAATTTTCCTGTCTGGCAACTGCTCGTGTGGGAATGGGCATAACAGCGCATTGCTAATGCACAACAATAGTGGGGACAACTGACTCACTGCAGCAAAAGAGCTTATGTAAGCAGCTAGGATGTGATGGATGCATCATGTTCTGCTATATTGTTTAGGACATGGTTGTCTTCATGCTGATTGAAGCTTTTGTATAAATTTGGGCATAAAAATTGATGGTTTATAATGTTTTCAGCTTTAGAAAAATGTCTATATAGACAAGCTTAGAAAATGTAAAGTTTTCATCCAAGTGATAAAGTGTTTTGAATTACTAACCGAACAACAAATACAGAAAGTCCTGTGTCAGGAATACTCCTTACCAAACTCTCATCTGCTTCTTGTACACGTTTCAAATTGGCAAATACAGCTGGTGAGAGCTGTGGCTCTAGATCGCACTGGCAAATTCTGCAGGTACCCTTTTCGCTCAAGATAAAGCACAATTTTTATCAGTCCCATAGAGGGCATTAGGTTGAGTGCATAAACTTCACTTTGGTATGGCAGGTTCACGCAGTTAAAAGGGCAAGGGCTGCCGTAAGAGCATGTTGCTAGGTTAGGTCAGTTTACCTCATTGGAGAATTTGGTTTTAAAAGGATGAATTTTTAGTTTTGCTCTCTCTGGAAAGTCTATTCAGAGGGCTTAGCATTAGGTCTGATCCAGCAGGAAAACTGTTCAGTTTGCCTGTGGCTGTGGATCAGGATGAACATGAGGACAGTCCGAAATGTTATGCCATTTTCAATGTGTTTGCATGGTTGATAAATTCTCTTCACAGCGGTCTTGACTGGAAGTATTCCTTTTAATTTATGTTCAAGTTTTGTAAACAAAGAAAGCCTTCCAATTCTAATTTATGTATGCATCATAGTTGACACCTTCCACATAGAAAACAATTTACCATGCATATATGACTTACTGCGGTCATATGTGTGCAAGAGTATGTGCAGTTCTACATAATTTTATGCATGTCTCTTTCACATAGCAATAAAAAAACCCCTTCCCATTTTAAGTATGCTGGGAAGAATGTTTTACAAATGTAAACCAACAAAAGTTAGCAGCAAGAGCTTAGGTGGATGTGTGTGAAACAACTTTTAACCTGCCAGGCTAACCTTGCGCCTGCTAACGCTGAACTATTTGTCTGAATGTAACTTTATAATCTTCAAGTGTATGTGAACTATAATTAATGCCTATTTTCAATTTACTGCAAGAAATTCTTCAATGCTGACATTCTGTGAAGTTAGAAGAGAACAGTTTGGGAGAGATGGGAGGGATCTTTAATATGACCTTGTTACTGGATTTTGTTTTCGTTCTGTTCTTTCCCAGCCTGTGAAATTAATTTGTCGTCGTTACAAAACTTAGATTTTTATCTTTTTGGCCCTTGAAAATTGGGAGCAGTAATTCAGCTTTTTAAGTGTATCTTTCTCCTTCATTACTCTCCTCCCATCTCAATTTCTGGTTTGTACAGAGATTAATTATTAAAACATTTTGTTTTGCAGGGAGGCTGTGTGGACTCAACAAATCAGAGCCTTGCTCTACTCCTCATGACCCTTGGACAACGGGATGTTTCCAAAGTCCTGTTAGGACCTCTGTCTCCATACACGTAAGTTGTTTTGTTCCATTTAATTACCCAGCCTTGTTTAATTCGCTAGTTGTATTGCACATCTATTTTTAATATATGGAAGACTTTGCCTGTGGCTATGAATAAAATAACTTGTACCCATCTTCAAATTAGACAGGTGGTATAATCTAGTGTTCATTTCGACACGTTAGAAGATGATTCCCTTACCGTTCTATGTTATTCCTGGTTATGAGAATTGCAGAGATAGGGTTTATTGTTGGATCTTGGTCTTGGATTGTATTTGTACGTCCGTTTGCTTTTTCTTGCCTACTGCACTCTACTGTGTTTTCCTGGCAATCTGTCTGTAGCTGTGGCATTAAATGGCATGTTTCAAATGGCTAGCCAAACGCTAAAGCTGTGATTGTCCATAGGAAACAGCTTAAGAGTTCAAATCCTGGAGCTATGTGCAACCTCTTATTGGGCAGCAGAGTTCTATGTAGTCCTTCATTTTTTTTAAAGCTTCGTCTGCGGCTGGTAGTGATTCAGAGGATAGAAAAATACTAAATTTCTTTCACTGCTCATTGCAACACACAGGGTAGGGGAAGCGCATCCAGTACCAAAAATTTCATTTATCAGACTGACAAGTGATTGACTAGATCACAGTTATTCCTAGCGACTGAGCAGTTTTCCTTTAATCAAATGGAGGCAGGGTTGTTTATCTGACAATGGCATCAACTAATAAGAATCTGAACTGTCCTTTTTCGGTTATCATAGTACCGGTGCTATATATGTGAAAGGTACAGTACTGTGATAACTGAAGAATGGTAGTGCCATCACGTGAGAGCTAGAAATTGCCTGTTATTCTCAACACCTGATATCTTGGAAACGGCATTCATCAGATTTTGAGGGGAAGATAGGCAAGCCTCCCATTGCACACGAGTAAAGTAATCCCCTGTAAGGTAAGTATCCACGTGAAAGGCTTATCAAGAGTAGGTGATTACTCTCTTATCAAGAGTTCAGTGTTTGAAGTGAACAGTTAAGCATCTGAAACAAACCAATCACTTCTCATTGTCCAGTGGTTTTTGTCTTTTTGGTTTTTTAATGCTATGAAAACCAGACAAGCACACTAGTTTATTTTGTAAGCAGGCTGATTTCAAATGGGTGGGTTGTCAGTTCATCCAAGCTAGGAGTGTGTGGCAGGGATGAAGGTCAAGAGCAGACATCCTGAAGCAGCATGTGTCACAAGAGATCATAAAATCTGTGATTCTGTGAGAATCTGTGACTCATCAATCCTATGAGGATCCATTCAGAGATCACACAGCTCACTCTGCAGTACTCCCATGCCCTCACTAAGGCAGCTCATAAAAGGCTGGCAAATTTGGCTCCTGAGCAACTCATCAGATGCACAGGCTTGTTGAAGTAAATTGCAGTAGTCATGTTCCACTTCATTGTCCTTTCTTTTCTCTCTTGGGGCTGTGACATCTCTGCATTTAACACTTTCACCCTGCAGAATCCAAAGCTATTTATAAGCTGTGTTACGCTAGATTGGTTTCCCTGTCTAGTACAATGTAGCATGGATGTGACAGCTCAGCTTGCGGATGAGAGCACCCTGTGGGGACGTGGTGCTTTGGAATACGTTGATCAGAGTGAGGAAAGGTCTCCCAAATTTGTGTGTTTCCACCAGACACATCCTTTGCCCCTGCTAATGCTCCAGATTTCACAGAAGTGTGCATCTCTGTCAAGCTGATATTAAAATCAAATGCAGGGTGCTGGCTGTGTTGGCACCTCGCAGAGATCAGTCTTGCAGGACGGCCTAGTCTGTGTGCGGGTGAGTTGGCACAAGCCAGGCGTACGTGAAGGAGAGCAACGAGAGAGCTTAAGCGCCCCGGCCCTTTGTTTCAGAAGGGCTTAGGGGCTTCAAGCAGAGGGGACAGGGCCAGGCACA